TAGGTTAGAAAACGCTATAAAATGGAACGAAAAAACAATCTATCCAACTATAATATTTCACACTGAAACATCCGATTTGCTAGTCTTGTGTAGCTTATCTTGTAAGTCAGAAACAAGCTTTCATCTAATACTATCATCTAGAAATGAAATAAATTCCATATAATTTCAACTCTCAAAGCACTATTCTTCCAGGAAAAAGCAAGGAAATCCAAGCCAGAAATAGAAAATCACCAAAAACAAGAATTAAACTGGAAAGGAGATTGTGTATACGTACATGGGCTGCCATGCGAGCCCATTTGTTTCCCATTTTAGCATGCAGTTCAATTATTAGATGCTCTTCTTCTTCAGTAAATGCCCCTTTTTTCAAGTTTGGTCTGAGGTGATTGGCCCATCGCAAACGGCAGCTCTTCCCACAACGAGAAAGTCCAGAATGCTTCTGCACAGCATTCCAATTTCCCTCCCCATGCTTCTTTACATACTCTATCAAAATTTCATCTTCAGCAGACGTCCATGGTCCTTTCTTAAGAACAATACCGTTGGCATTCCCTCCGCTATCTTCGTCTACCAATGGTGATAATATCTGGTCTTTTGAAGGTATATTGTCTTCAATCTCAATTTTCGTATGCCGCATCTCTTAATTAGCAATCAAATAAAGATCCTACAAACAAATTAGGACTATGGATAAAACAAGAAAAGTTGAGAGAGAGTGTGCGGACTTAAACAAACAGTAGACAATTCATAGTGTTTTGATCAAATCTGAGTAGAAAAATATAAAGAACTAGAGATAGTTCACACTTCATCAAGAAACTAGATGAAGACTGAAAGCAATTACAATGTTTTTACTAATCACTAGTTCTTCATAAATGTTCGAAAAGTATATAGATCTCCCTGATCCATTAAAGGAAGAATCGGAACGAAGGAATTTCGAAAGCCAATTAAATTCTGACTCCATCGGGAAGGAAATAAATGAACCAAGTAATTAATCAACAATTGCGAAATTAATCTACTACCCTAACTTGGAAGAATCACTCATCATAAATTCTTAAAGTTTGATAACTCAAAGAGTAATTGACTCATTAATTGCAAAAGAAAATCGCAATTATTGCAACAGATACTGCATAATCAACGCAGAAAAAGGAAACCACAGCCTGCCAAATACAGATCCTTCCTAGCTACATCAAAATGAAAATCAAAACAGAACGAATGAATTTCCAAATATCGCAACCTAAACCCATACCAAATGCATCTCCATCAAGGAACGAAAAAGAAAATCGATGTACCTGAATCGCGCCCCAACGATACAATAGATTCCCAAACTAATAGGCTTTAAATCGCCGACTTATTGAAAAGCACACAGAAACAATCGAACGAGAAATCAATAGCTCACTCGAGGTGCCGAATTGAGCTACCACCAGCAGAGAAAATAGCAACAATGGAAGATCTGAAACAGAGAAAATATCCAAAAGGGGAAAAATTACACAAAAAAGTAAAAACCAAAAATCAAAACCAGCTCGCGATGCGAAATCACTAAACAGATAATACAAACTCCATTTAACCAAAGTCATCAGAAAGAGAAACGATCAAAACGAGTAAAACAATCATCATCCATACTTCTCACTCCCCAAATCTAAACCCTAGCCCTCCTCAAAGATCCATCAACTGAAACCAAAATCAACAAACAAATTAAACATAGATCATAAACTCTCAAAGAAATGCTGACCGCAATTTGTGAAAGATGATGAAGAAGATCCTGGCATAGAGAGTACAACACATCATCTGGGATGATCCCAGAACCAAAAAAACCACAGAAAAAATACAGAGTGAGAGAGAAAACGAGAGAGTGTGTGATAGAAGATTAGTAGAGAGAGAAAGTGAAATGGAGAAATGGAGTAGAGCAGAAATGAAGTTCTTGACAGAAGATGAAATGGCCGAAAAAGAGCAAAATTAGGCAGAGAGAAAGGAGGAGAGAGTTGAATACATTTCCATCTTCCTTCTTCAATCGCCTCTTCACTGAAAATGAAAGCATCTTTTTTTCTTTTTCTTTTTCTTTTTTCTCTTTCTTTTTTCTTTTTTCTTTTCTTTTTTCTTTTCCCTTTTCTTAATTCAAACTCATTTTATTTAATCTTCAAATTCTCCATTTTTCATCGTTTTGTTTTCATGTGAATTTACAATTTTACCCTTCTATTCAAAAGTTACGATTCAAGTTCGTATTTGATAACATGAGTTACTCGGGTCATATGTACGCCTGCAACATAGTCCAATATACCTTACAATTTTTCAGTAAAAAACACAACATTAGACATAATTATAGTACTGAGGTACGATCGTCGTCTGCTAATTAAAAAATATAAACTTAACCCATCAATAAAAAACGAAGAAACGATCGAACAGTATACATACCTTTTTTCGATTTAACTCGATTCGACGTTCGTAAAATTTGAATTTGTTTATAAAATTGCAGTATAAACAAGCCGATATTAAACGTTGTTTTCTCGTAAACTCCCATATTCTCTACTATGGATTCTATAGATAAGCTAGCATCCAATTTTATATGTAATCAAAATTCAAGATATAAATATATTTAAAAACAGAATAAACAAGTTATTTATTTATTATGTATATTAAAATATTTGGGAGCTATTCAATTTCTAGATAATCTAAAAAAATATATTTCAAATTAAAATCTCAAATTTTATTAATAAGTAAATAAGATTTTAGGTTTGATCAAATATTTAAATTTTTTAATTATATTTTAAAAAACTTATAATAAAATTTAATTTAATTTAGAATTTATTTTAAAATGTTGTTTAATATTACTCTTTAAATATATTGAAACTGTAATTAAAATTTACTAAAAAAATAATGTAAACATATATATATATAGAGAAATTAAGGAATTTTGAAAAAAAAATGAAAAATAGTAAAATATGATTAAAAAAAAGAGTAAATAACACAATTTAAAAAATAAAATATTTATATTTTATTAAATACCTCGTAAAAACGGCATTGGTAGGTTTATTTATTTATTTATATATATATATATATATTTTTTTTTTATAGTAAAAAAAACTGCAAATTTGTTTAAAAATTATATGTATATAAATAAAAAAATGATTTTCGGATAATTTAAATATAAAAAAAATTAATTTAAACACTGACTATATAAAATTTTCGGCTCATTTTTAACGATTTTGTTTATTTTATATCAATTTTTAATTTTTTTTTATAGATAAAGGGTAAATAAATGTTTTACACACGTTAAATATTTAATTATCCACCTTGGTCTCATTTATTATTAAATTCTTTAAAAATAATTTTTATTAGTATTTTAAAATATAGTTTATTAGGTGAAAACTATAATTATTATTAATTAAATAATTAAAAATGGAAAGAGAATCTAAACCCATATTTAGCAATTTAATGATCTTATAATGGAATAAAAAATGATGAATAAAAAGAATTAAAATAATTATTAAAAATAAAAATAAAAAGAATATTTCTAATTGAGAAAGAAAGAAAGCCCATACTCTTCAGTTTTTTCTATTTTTTTGTTCCTTAAAATGCTCTCTGTCTCTTTCACTCCATTTATTGCAATGCCTTGTGATGTCAAACAAAGTGATTGCTTTCCCTTTCATTTTTAGGCTTAAATTGTGGGGTTTCTTCGAGATCTTTTTATTTTACCTATAGATATAGAGATCGTGTCGTGGTCAGTCGTTTAGTAATGGGTCTGAAAAACTTTTAAAATTTATCTTTTCAGTTCATTAGTCAAGGTCGTACTGGAGTCGATCGATCGATCGTTAGTTTGGTACGACCTTTTAAAATTTATCTTTTCAATTCATTAGTTGATGTCGTACTGTAGTCGATCGATCGATCGTTTAGTAGTTAGTTCGGGACGACCTTTAAGTCGAAATCATATTCTAATAGGCAGTCGTTCAACAATGAGTTTATGACAACTTTTAAAAAAATTATTTATATTTTACTTGATTGATATCGTTTTACAGCACATCTATGTTTTTTAAATATTAAAAAATTAATAATTTTGAAAGATTTGGGTAAGATTTCAAAATTTATAAATTAAAATTTTAATTATTTTAAACATGTTGAAAATCTAAAATAAAAATTAATATTTTAACCCCATTTAATAATATTTGATTTTTAATTATTTAAAATCAATTTTATAAAACAAATCTCACATACATCCCTCAAAAAAAAAACATTTTAAAATTTTGACTAAATATATTGTAATTTAAAATATTTTTGTCGTTTAAAAAAAAAACTTCAAAGTTTTTTTATTTTTTTATTTTTATGATAATTTGAGGTGAACGTCGAATGCTTGTCATACACTCTGAAACTTTAATACTCATTGGACATATATAGGGCATGTGACGCTCGTTCGATAGATATGTGGTAGGCACTAATTGTATAAAGTCTCGACATTTGTTAGATACCCTATTAAATACTTACTGAGTATACCAAATAGACACGCAATGATATATAACAACAAAAACGTTACTCGTTTTTAAGAACGTACATGCATAATTAAACTTGCTGCGTTTTAATTTTCTGTATAAAAATGGTGCAATTTAAGGCAGATACAAGATACAGAGAGGAAGAAAATAATTAATAAGCAGTAAATAATTTTGGTAATATATTTTTTAAAAAATAAGGTATTAATGTTTTTTTTTTTTTAAAGTTGGTGAATTAAAGATAAAAATATTTCTTAAAATTTTAAAAATATTTAAATGTATTAATGAAATTTATGAATATTACTGAGATATTTTAAAAATAAATACAAATAATTTTAATAACAATAATAAAAAAATAATTATTTTTTTTAAAAAAGTTATTATTAAGATTTTAAAAAGTTTAGAAATATATATATATATATTTTAAGAGAAAGTATATAATGTTAATTATTTTTTATTTATTTTTAATGAAAATGTTTTTGTTGACCGCCTTTGACCTGCGATTCGCGGCAGGTCTTAAACCCTATAAACCCTTTTCCCACTTGAACACACTCTTCTTCATCTCTTCTCCCTAAACGAAAACTCTCCTTTCGATTTTTGATGCCGTGAAGATGTTTCGTCCTCCAGCGGCTTCTTCACAACAGGTAATTCCGATCATTCGATGTTTTTTTTTCGATCAATTTCTCTTATCCACTCGTTTTAATTCGTTCATCTTTTCAATCAATAGTTACCCAATTCATCTCTCGCGAATTCCGCCAATGGGCTTCAAAATCCCATTCAAATTCAACCCCAAAACCAGGCTCCCTTCTGCAATCCCAACGCTCACTTGAACAATCTCCATGGAAATCCTGTTCCAAACATGCCGCCCCCCATGTTTCAACCAGGATTGATGATGAATTTGCAAAACCCTCTCATGGCGTTGCCTAATAATCCTCTTGGTGCTTCCCCGTTTGCTCCCGGACATATGGGATTTGCAAATTCTGCTGCTAATTTTCCGGTTCAGGGGCAGTTCAATATGTTGCCGAATGTGAATCAGATGAATATGAACTCGTGTTTGCCTCTAGCGCAGTTTTTTGGGCAGAACATGCCCAATTTGGTTCAGCAATTGACTCAGAATATGGGTTTAACTAATGGGCAGTTCTGTTTGCCGTTTCAAAATATGAATCAACATGTAATTCCTGGACAGATGTTGAATATGTCGTCGCAAGTTCCTTCTCATGCTTCATATGGTGCTCCAAATCAACAAGCTGTTCCAATGCCTTTTCAGAATCCTGCCCTCTCTACAATTCAGCCTTTTGGTGTCAATCAGGCAATGCACCCTGTTAACCAAAATCCCCAAAACTTCATTCCACAGGCAATGGGTGGTGCTGGATCAAATCAATTGCCGGGTTCGGCTCCACCGTTGCAAGGGAACTCGACCATGCCGTTTAACTCTCCGACGCAACCACAACAAGCCAGGAACCTGCAGTCACCTGCTTTCGTTGGTTCACAGGTTATTCTTCATTATCCTATACAAAAATACCTTACTTGGATTGTTATGTATTTGATTGAATGTGGAAAATGTCTCAGCCAAAGAGTGTGAAAGATGGTATGAAGTTTAAGAGATAGTTTAGTCCTAATATTTGCATGAGTTCCTGAGAACCTATCGATTCTCTTGACTTCAAAATGTCCACGTTTTCCATTGTAATTAACTCAAATCGAGATGCCTTTTGTTTTTCTTTTCTATTTCCTAGTAGTTTTTGAAAAGGAATATTTAGTTTATAAATGCATCCGTTTATATATTTGTACTGAGTTTTTCTTTTCTCTATGATCAGTGTTCTAGAAATAGTTCATTTGTGAAAAGAATAGTCCCAAGGTTTAAAGATCATTATTTGATCAATGGTCTAATTGTTGTTGATTATTACAGGGGAATTCTTCAATAAGTGATGGTGGAAATGGATCAAATTCCTTTTCAAATAATTTAGCTCACAGGAATTTCACGAGGAACTCAAACAAAGGGTATACTATGCCAATTGTTCAATCTTTTTCTCTCTCTCGTTATTTAACCTAGAAGAGTTAAATTCGAGGGCCTGTTTTTCTCAACCAACTCATATATTGTAGATTTCAGAAGCATCAAGCTCATCATATGAAAAATGAAAAGAAAAAGTTTGGGGTTCCTGGCGGACCGAAAGGAAAAGGTTTGTGGTTTCATTCACGCAGATTATTGCAACGTTTAATTCTATACCCTCTTTGAGGGATGGAGATGATCACATACATACAAAGGATTATATAAAAATGAAAGGAATAAATAGGAAGAAAAAACGATACTTCGAGGCTTCGTGATTTCATTTCACATATTGAATCTGATGAGGCCTGCATATTTAGCTAGAAAAGTGCTGGCTTTAAACCATGGATGTAGAATTTTTGGCCTCGATTGGTTCATGAAATTTTCTGATGTAGAGATTTGATTACTACGACCTATTTAACTTCGTTTTCTAATTGCCCATTGTTTTTTAGCTTGCTGAAATATGACTGTTCATTAATTTTTTTTTTTTGAAGTTTTAGAGTCCGTATGCTACGTCAGGGCTGCTCGAAAATCTTATTTTGATTTGGAACCTTACTTGGGATCAAATATAGATTCAGAATCTATCCTAAATTTAGGCCTTCTTCTTCTTCTTTTTATTTTAAATTTTCCCCTCAAATATGTCTCTACTTTAGGCAGAGAATTGATGATTATGGTGCAGATAGAACTTTCTGTCCTGTGATTTACTATGGTTTGTTTCTCGTCATTTACGAAGCATGATTAATAGAGAGTGTATACAGGTTTTCACAATGAGAGGAGGAACAAATTTGGTGATGCTAACTCCACAGAACATGTGAAAGACCAGAAAAGGTGATACTTTCTTGTTCTTGTGTTAATGTTTCATATTAAGGCCCCATTTGATGACAAGTTCTACCAATGTTTCTAGGTTTTGTTATCAAGTTCTACCAATGTTTTAAAAAACCAAACCAAGTTTTGAAAACTAAGAAAAGTAGTCTTCAAGTACTTATTTTGTGTTCTGAAAGTTGCAATCTGTTCGTGTTAAGTTAAAACTGATCTGTTGTAGCTCCCTTTCTCATATTCAGTTTATATTTTCTCTAGATCTCTTTCTTTGGTCTATACGGATCAAGAAATCCTGCAATGGCGTGAAGCACGCCGGAAGAATTTCCCATCATCAACCAACATACAGAAGGTTTGACTTACTTCCCTATCTCGCTGCAAGTTACGGTCTAGTGTGCGTCCAATCTTATGTTTAATCAAGTTACCAATGTGCTGATAATTTACGTTCCTCCAGAAACTCACCGAAAAGCAAACCGACTGCACATTGGTTGATAAGGAGGCTCAGCTTTTGCGACAAGTATGTATCTCACGTTTCCCTTTCCTTTTCGTCCTTTCTCTTCTTTTGTTCTCTCTTTTAAAAGCCAGTGAGTTGGCACAATCTTTCCTTATAGATATAAATATCCATTTTAGAAGCTGGGTTCTATTTAAGAAATGTAGTTTTTGGATTGAAAGGAACAATAGTATCTTTTGGAATGTAGAGACATTGAGTCGGGAGGTTTCGGAGGTGGCTACGTTTAATACTCCTTGTTGATGTTGGTCGTTGGACCATTTTGCAATCGTGATCTTGATTTTGTTCTGCTGGATTGAAGTTATTTTTTTATAGTTAGGATTGGACTTCCTTTTTGTTGGAGCTTGTGTTCTGTTCTTTCATCTTTCTCAAGAAAACGCAGTTTCTTACCCCAAAAAAGTTGTTGATTTTGAATCTAGAGAACAGTTTTCTAAGTTTAGAAAGAGATGGTTGCAGAAGACGTCGTGTTACACGACGACAAAATGGTATCATGATTCACACGGTGGCTATATATACTCGTGTCGTAAAAAGGGAAACATGATTAGGCAACCGATGCTAGAATATTAACGACTAAGTATGGTGAAAAAAATGTTTGCAGGAACTCAAAGAGATTTTAGCAAAGCAGGCTGAATTAGGAGTGGAAGTAGCAGAAATACCACAAGAATACCTTTCATATTCAGAAAAATGTGACGATAATAAACGACACGGAGATCTATCGACAATGGGAGAGGAAGCAGAAGGAGCCTCAACAGGGAAAGAAAAAGCTCGAAACAGGTTCAACAAGAGGCGAAGACCTGAGAAAAAGAACCGTTCGAGAAAGAAAGAAAAACCCGATAAGCATTTATCAAACAAGTCGCCATTAAAGAAGAGAGAGCCAACATTATACCAGAAGCTGTTGAGAGCAGATGTTAAGAGAGACAAGAGCCATATGTTACAAGCTTTGAGATTCATGGTGATGAATTCTTTCTTCAATGAATGGCCCAATAAACCCTTGAACTTTCCTTCAGTCATTGTCAAAGAGAGTGGAAGTGAGATCAAGGTGGTTGATGAGAAGTCTCTATCTACTGGGAGCTTCAATCTCCAAGAGACCAACAGTTCAATGGTTGAAAACACTGGTAGTCGTGGCATTGCCAGCGATAACGAAAGCGACGATGACAATAGCGATAACAATGAGAAGTTCAGAGGAGATGGAATACCGATACTCGAAGAGGAAGAAGGTGAAATTATCGATTAATGTCGGGCCTCTATTTTGCTCTCTGGTTTCATGGGAGTACTATGAAAAGAATTCTTGTTTTGGTGCAGGCTTTGAAGATAAGATAAAAGCTTGTATCTATTAAATCAATGAAAACCTTCTCTTTTCTTGGGGATGCTCAATGGAAAGAAGTACCCCAAAAGTGTAGAAATATAAATCTAAGGTTTCAATACTATTTAGGTTCTTTCGGTCAGTTTTGGTCCGTTTTGATTTGGTCTTTCGAGTTATTACGTCCGAAGTTGTTTACTTTAGAGAGTTGAGTAATCTCTATTTAGAGTGCGTACGTTGTTAAGGAAGACCGTGTTCAGAGTGTATTGATCTAATGTCTGTGTTTATGGTTGTTTCTTGTCGTTCTGTGTATAATCTAACTGTGTGTGTTTGTTCTGCTCTTCAGTTTACCGAAAAGTAGAAAGATTCAAACATTTTACCTTATTTGTTAGAAGAGAAGTAATCTGTCCAGATCTGTCTTCTAATTTTACGATTCTTGAAAAAGATGGGTTGGGAGTAGAGTAGAGTAGCAGATATGATTGTCTTTTTTGTATGGTGTCGGTTTTGAGCCGAAGTGAACTATGTTCAATGATTGAGATATCTACTCGTACATTTGAGAACGGTAGGAACTTTTTTAAAATGAGTTCCAGAAATCGTCATTTTTTTTAATGGAACACCTCAAATAAATTCTTATACGAAAAAAAAATATATTTATTTTTTATTAGGAATTCTCTCAAATTTCCATAATACATGAACCCGATCAAAATATACCATCAACTTGCGTTTTTCAAGTCTCTCCCCCTTCACTTCCACCCTGGCTCTCGCTGACGAGCACTGCCCACCATGGCCATTGCTTATCGTTAACATCCATCACCATTTTCTCTAATAACATCACTCACTACATTGTCGTTGTCATCACACTCAAAACTTTAATATGAAGTTTTTATTGAGTCAAGTCAATATATTATAGTATATAAAATTTCACATACATCACACTCAAAACGTTAATATATATATTTTAACGATAAATAAAATATTATTATTTTGATATCAAATTTATTATTATCAAAGTACAACCCATGTGGTTCATAAATGAAAATGGTGGCAACAAATTAATGTTTAATAAATGATAAATATAAAAAATAAGAGTAATTTAGTATTTACATATCTATACCATTAAATGGTCGAGTGCATTAAAAAAACATCTCAAAAAATTTGTCGCTAAACTTTTTAAAAATAATCATTTTTAGTGTTCGGTCAAAGTTCATAATTGAACGAAAGTAAGGAACAAAATAATTATAAAGTTAAAATAAATATTTTAAAATTTGAGAGATTTTAATTTAATGAACATCAATATTCACAAACTTTATTTATTTTGATACTAACATTTTTAAACTGTTTATTTTAATTATTGAACTTTCAAAAATAAATATTTTAGGTCTAATTTTATTTTATTTGATTAAAGACATATTTTTATTTTAGGTCTAATTTGAAAAACATGTATCTAAATTATTTAAATAGTTAGATCTAATAACAAATTCATTACTCAAATCAACTCCCATCTAAAATAACGGTCTTAAAATATTTTTAATTAAAAATACATGAGGAAGAATATTAAAGTTTTATTTAACCTAATTTAATATTTAATTTAAATTATCTTGAAATAACCTATCAATCACTACAAATTTAGATAATTAGTTTAAACCTTTAAAAATTATATTCATTTTAAAAAATAAAATCATTTTTTATATTTTTTATTTTTAAAACCGTTCTTAAAAATTAAATAATAATGTAATAAAGGGTGAAATTTTTTTTTATATTTTTTATTTTTAAAACCGTTCTTAAAAATTAAATAATAATGTAATAAAGGGTGAAAAAAAATTAGATTTTGTTTTTGGTAGGTTCGTTTAGATTAGATAGGTTAGGTAGGAAAATAATTCAAACATATGATTTTGTTTGATAATAAATAATTTACGCTAATTATTTGATAGGTATATAAATAAATATGTTTACTTTTAATTATTTACATAAAAATATTACGTTGGTTTGAATTATTTATTTATTTTTAAATATTAAATTAAAATTTGGGATTCGAATTTGAAAATTACATTTTTAAAATTGGAAAAGATTCCAAATTCATAATTTAACGTATAATATTTATATTTATTAATATATTTTTTTTTTTAAATTTGGTTTCAATTAGTTTATTAAACTCTATAATATTTATACCGATTTGATCATAATTCAACCGCTAAAATAAAGTCTATCTCGAGATCAAGTTTAATTATTAATTTCATAATTATTGAATTATTAAAAAAAAAAAACTTCTATGCTATTGACAATTAAAAAGTGACGTAGAAATGTTACTAACGAATAATTAATAAATGATATGACACATAACTAATATAGACATGCACTAATTGATATATATATATATATATATATATTTTGTAATATATATATATATATATTTTGTAGGTTGTTCTTATGGCAAAATTTAGACAAACTAACTATATCAAATTTATAATTTTAGTTTTTTAGTTTTTTATTTACCATTTTTTTTAATATTTATATGAATTAAATTATTTTTATTACTAAAATTAAAAAATAGTAGTTAAAATTTATTGAAGGATTAATTATGTCACATTCTTTGTATAAATAAAATTTACTAATTCCTCGAAAGTTGAAAAATGTGACGTGAAAAGTCAAATATTTGAGGTGAGAGAATAATTTAAGTATTATATTTTAATTACCAACTACTCTTTATCAACTTTGACAATATTATTATGGTTGGATTGAATAAATATTAAAATATGAACGAAAATGATAATAGACCTTGAGCGATTATTATTATTATTATTATTATTATTTATTAAATATTGATTAACGTTATGTGTAATAATGATAAGTAAGCTTAATTTAACTGAAAAAACAAAAACAAAAGACAAAAAAAAAAAAAAAAAAAAAAAAAAAAAAAAAAAAAAAAAAAAAAAAAAAAAAAAAAAAAAAA